GGGAGATCCACTTCCTCCTTCTTCCCCCTCCCCTCGTCCCTTCCTCCAGGAGGATCCGCCTGTGAGAACTTTAGCAATGAAATGGTGGGATTGCAGTGAATATCAGTACTAAGACCGCTTAAACGAATCCATAATTTATATTTTGGCTAAATAAGTGCTAAATTTTTGCGTTGTTTAATGTTTTTAAGCAAATATCAATTGTTGTTTAGGCTGCATCCTCGACTTATCAAATATTTTGGCCGTGAAGTTGATTTAAATGCTCCAGCTGGACGCACCGGTTGCTGTTCCCGGGATCATCGGAAACTCTCAAATATTGTCCGAATACCATTGAGCAGTTCGTAATCCAACAACAGCAACAATAGCTGTTTTCCCTATTGCTTTACTTATCATCATCATCATCATCATCATTGTCGTCATCATCATCATCATCGTCATCATCGCTCGCCTTTGTTGTCGATTGTTGTTAACAAATGTAACGAATCGTTGGTACAGTCTTTTTGTCTTTGTTTCTTTTTTCGCATAAATCTGTAAACATTATTTTCTTGTAAAAGAAAAATTTTAATGGCATTTAGATTTTCGAATTTTTTTTCAAAAATTTGAAAATATTCAAGGATTGTGAAAAATATGGTTCTCTCTAAGTCTTATCTCCGAAGTGATAAGTTTGTATGATTGCACAGAGACTTAATAAAAATACATATCATATTTTTTGGCGTGTTCAGCGTAACAGAAATGGAGCCGATCTTACTTTGTTTTATGGAGTTTCAGGAAAAAAATACAAAAAAATTAGAGTTCCAAAAGGAAAAAAATTGCATTTTTTTTAAAGAATTTTGCTTCTAAAACGTAAAAAACTACGTAAAAAATCCTTCTAAAACGTAAAAAATTAGTAATTTATGAGTAAATTAGGTCCCAAAATTCATGCGAAACGCCATTTTGGCCAGAAAAAATGAATTTGCTGTTAAATTTTGCGACAGGATCAAAGCTGATGGCCTTGCTTTGGTCCAGTTAAATGCTGGATGCGCCATTTGTGGATTTTTTAAAGTGGTACCTGTTTTTTTTTTCGCAGTAATTGCCTGTATTCATAGTTGTTTTTTGTGTTTCATGATCAAAAACTGCTGATATTTATCTTGTTAATCTCGGTCACCCGTTATCAGAACTGCTTGTTAATCTCGATCACCTTTTTTTAATCTCTTTTGATTAACAACACATATCATTGACTTCACTAGAACAGCTCTAACAGTGTTGTCCGATATATTTAAATTTTGTATATTTTGTGGTTATGAAAAAGGTTGTAACAAAGTAAAAAGTATTAAAAAAAACAGAATCTCTGAGTCTTTGCAGTACTGTTATATTAATAATTTTTTTAATCGTTTCGGCATTAAAATAAAAGGCGCGTTAATTGTACGTAAATTTGTGATTTATTATTACTAATGGGGGAAGGGAGAGGAGGGGAATATTACGCAAATATCGATTAAATAATATTCGAAAATACAGTAATTTTAATTTAAATTTTAGTTGGTATGTGTTTATGTAAGATGTGAGGAAATAAAAAAGGAAATGTGAACAAGTTAAGATTAAAATCTGAACGGGAATGTTTCGGTGCAGGGGTAAGAAGGGGTAAGAATTCATTTCAAAACTTTTTGTGAATTTTAATTAATTCACACCCACAGTGTACTTTCATGACTTTTTTTCTCTATCTTCATTTGCCTTTTACCAAAATTTGTATATCGTAATAGTAATAATTATTTCAGTTATCATTTGATCTTCCCTGTTTCCGACCATATGTCGTACTGACGAGGTCCAGTTGTGACACTGGCAAAAAATGTATACGACTTTATGGACTGAAACATTTTTCCTTTCCAGTTTACTAATTTTTTTAAGGCTGTGGTTCTGCCAACTGTTCTTATTTTATGAAAATTTTTTTTTAATTCTTCCATTTTAAGTTCAAATTTTAGTTTTCGAAGTTAATGTGAGGAAAAGTGTCGCTCATTAACTTTATTTTTAAATGCTTGGATCAAAATAGTTGTTTTTTCGCCCTTGCTTTTTTGTTGTGGGGTCCTGGATTGCATACTTTCAGTTGCTTCCCACCGCTTGTTCGTTTTAAGATCTTTCCCCATGCGCGCCTAGACCCCGCATACGGGACCCGCAAAGAAATATGTTGGCGGGAAACGATTTCGCAAACCAAGCAAGGTAGAAAGCTGAAACTTTGCAGGGACATTCTCTGTGATGTTCTCCATGCAAAGTATGACTCACGTGACTCATTCCCCTCCGTTTGGGAGTTTTTTTGCATTCTTGATTTAACAAAACCCCTTATTCAGATGTAGCAGCCCGAGTCACTTATCTAGTTATCACTCACTAATGCGTGTCTTTCATCGATTGTCGGCAAGGCGAGCAACATGCGTTTCCTATCAAATTTTAC